GGGGCAGGGCTTGCACTGCTGTTTTTTACCTGGTTTTATTCTGTGCTTTCAGAACAAATACAAAGAACATAGCAAGAAGCAGCTTCCGCACGGGTCTTACACAACCCTGCCAGAGACACGAGACACTGCTCATGTGAAAGAGGTGACCAGGAATGTCAGTGAGGTAAGTAACTACTGTGATAACAATTTCTGGTGAGATTATTACCTGCTGCCTGTAATTGATGAGACTGTTGCATGTTTTAGTATACATGCAACACATTTAGAGTCTCATTGTAAAATGCCAAAGGAGTCAGAAAAGATTAGTTCCTACCAGAATGAGACTTTAACAAAGAGCTAAACACATTTTATTGGTGATCTGTTGAAATACTCCGGAGAAAAGTGATGGGCTGGAATGCTAACGGCTGCCCTTAATTCAGATTTTATTCTTCTTAGAACACAGTTTAAACACAAGTCATTATCTCCAAACAGCAAGCTTTTGTAATCTTAAGGTGCATTTTATGACAAACAAGCTGGGGACCATACATTTTGAGACTGAGGAGACTGCATTTTATCTGTCTTAACAGTTTCAGTGAACTTATTTCCAAGTTTCAGTAGCATTTACCTCCATGTGACATTAAAAAAATTACACATGTCCCTTTTTGCTCTTAACAGACAAACTATAAAAAGAATTTTGTGAAGGAGAAAGGCAAGTCTAATTATTCTATCATGCTGGAGCCTCCCGAAGTGAAACATGCCATGGAAGTTGCTAAAAAACAGAGTACGGTAAGTTTGTCTTGTCTTTTCATTAAGTAAGTAGTTGAGGAGGCAAATTCAAAGACAGCTGGCAAAAACAAAAGTTCACATAATTCTGGATTTCCCTGCATGTTCAGGTGTAATTCTGAAAGACAAAGGTGCAAATATTTACAAATGTAAAATTGCGCTGAAAGAAAGGATTTCTTTGGATATCATATTTCTACTTAATCACATGGTAGGATTTAAAGTAATCTAGTGCAAATCACATCTAATAATTTTTTTCATTCCTTCAAATACAGACAGAATTGCGTATGCTTATTTCTTCATTTGTGGACAACTTGCAAAAACAGATTCCCAAATCCATTCCTTGTGAAATTATTTTTAAAAAAGCCATGCACTTTCCCAGTAACATTGCTGTGTCCTTATTAGTTATATTCCTCTTGAACAAACCTCAGTAATTTTCTTTCCTCTGTTTATCATCACGGATTAGATTGAATACAAGAAAGATGCCAAGTCAAAGCTCCACTACACACCTATAGCAGATCGACCAGATATTAAGAAAGCAACTCAGGCTGCCAAGTTAATTAGTGATGTAAGTGGTTTTTAAGTCTTCTGTATAATTCTTTAGCAGCAATTTTACTATTAAAAACAGTGTCAGTAAAATAATTAAAAGGGAATGTCATCACAACTAAACTATACTGGTTTTTTTGCTTTGTTAGATTGAATATAAAAAGCGTGGAGAAGCTGGCATTGGCGTAACCATGCTGGGACGTCCAGATATTGAACTGGCAAAGGAGGTGTCCAAGCTAACTAGCCAGGTAATAATAAAAAGTTGGAAAAACTTTGAAGCAGTGAGATAAATGAGACCTGATATTAATTTCTAGAGTAATACTGATATTACAACTGGAATTATTTCTAGATTAGGGGATAAGGGAATATTTTAAAAGAACTTGTTAAAGTAAAAATTAAATCCCAATGCAAGGTATTTGTTGTTAAATAAACTTTTCTACTGACTTACTAAATGTCTGTGATGGAGTTATAGAATCTCATTAAAATGATGCCGTGACAAGATCTTTTAAATACTAAGGCTGAAGTGTTAGCCATGTTCTCTTTTTTGAGATTTTCTGGGTATTGGCTTTAAAAGAAGCAGCCTTTTACCTGACTCTTCTAATCCATCCTTTATGAGATGGACATTCAGTTTCTTTCAGGCACTTTCTTTCTACTTTGTGACTTTAAAAGAATCTTCTGGTTTGAAGTTAATGTGTTACATTAATAGAAGTTTGCTTGCTTTTGTACAATGCTCATGGTCTCCGATCAGTCTGAAGCACATGCTTGCTATTTTCTCTGACAGTTTTTTCCACCAGGACCTGAGTTCAACTTGGTTCTTTCTCGCCACTTCATGCTTTAATCCTGTAATTATTTGCATTTCTGATCTTGCTTTCTTGCTGCGCATTATAGGCAGAATACCTCAAACGACATATGAGAGGGCATGGAGCTGCATCTTATGATACCCCATGGATGAGAACCTTTAAGAAAGCTAATATGCTAAGTAGCCATGTAAGATAATTCTAAGTGACGCATCTGGGAATGCCATTTTTATGCATCTGTCTCTTGCTTGCGTATTATCTTACAATCCCAAGCTGTCAAAGGGTTTATGATGCACCAGTTGCACTGGATCTTTTTGTGTTGAATGTAGCAAAACTTGTGAGACTGCCCTTCATAATGGTTTTGGAACTTCCAGAGCTCTTAATGGAAGTTTCCGATGCTCTCATGCAATGTGACAGCTCGCATTTTTCACCCAAAAAAACTAAAATCAGGCAAATAAGCTTGAGCTGGTTTTCCTGAAACTGTGCAAAAAATGGAAATATGTGTGTATGACAAACCCGAACAATGGTGCTGGTAATTTTCAGTGAACAGTCATACCATATGCCTAACTTTCACACTAGAACTTCATTTTAACTATTCAAACTTCAAACTTCTATTTAAACTTCATTACTTCATTTAAACTATACTGTTTGCATTGTGCTGGAATGGCATAATGGAAGCATGGTGTATGACTGAATCACCCTGTAGTGATTTGAGGGCTCAGTTTCCTGTATTTCTTGCCATCTCAAAACCTTTGGAAAATAGAAAAATGATGGCTGCATAGTAGTTTTTGAAGTGGCAGCAGACAGATCTGTGCCATTTCAGTTTTGCACATGTATTTCCAAATGAAAAAAAAGGGAAATTATGGTTTTTCATGTCTAGCCATGACTGCTGCATGTAACTGTCGCATGTTTGAATGTCAGCCACTGTGTCTGTCAGGAAATACAAGAATCTTATCAGTGGAACCAAGGATTCTTAAACGGAACAATTGAACTACAAGAAAAAGAAGAAATATGTTTATTGCCATTCAGTGATGAGATCCTCCTTTTGCTTTTGCTCCAGTGCTAGACGCTTCTCCTCTCGTCTTATAAACATGCTTTGATGAGATTATTTTGGTCCTGAGAGAAAATTAACTATTGTAGAGGCAGTAAGGGAGCAAAGAATAATTGGCATAATCTTTAACTTTTTTTTGTCTTAGACATTTCTTGTCATAAACTTCTTTTTAAGGCATTATGTCCAGTTTGATTATCCACTTGCCTTTTTTCAGTTGGATTTCATCTGCCTGTCTGGCATGCTTGCTTTTAATTTTGCATAGATCTTCCAGTAACATTTTGTCTGGGCTTAAAAAAAGTGAACTCTTTGGCATGGTGGTCTGATCTTGATCATATGTTGCATAGTTTGCAAAACTTAACAGATTCTAGTGTACTCTGCTTGATTTTAATTTTTGTAAGGTCAGAACCAATACTGATTTCTTTATGTCAAAAAAGTTAATCTTCGTTTTCTTACAGCAGCTATATAACTTGTGGATTTGCCTGTTTCGCTGTGTGTTTTATCTGAATGATGGAATATTTTTGCAAAGCAAAAGAGCAGCATGAACCATATGGTGCTGTATGGACAAGAACATGACAATGAATTCAAAATGTGAAATGTGGTTGTGGATGTGATTTAATTCTGCATTCAATCGTCTTTCTTTTTTTTACTAACATAAAATTATCTGTTTACATTTCTGTAATTGTCATAAAAAAACCTCCAGCATGAGTCAGCTGTTCCTCAACTTAGTTACCAGTTCTTCAGTGTTTTAGTTCCTTCATTTCAATTTTCACAGAAATATTGCTTGGGAGATCAGGTTTTTTCTGAAGAAGCGTTAACCCTTTTTCCTCATCAGCCACGGTCTTACATTTTCTGCATGCTTTTTATAAGTATTGTCTTGGTCCTGAACAAGATCACATTCTTTCAGAAAGACTGATGACGGTTGTTCAGTTCTTGCTCTTTAGACCAGGGATGGGGGTTGCTGGCTTATTTAGTATAAAGTATCTCCAAGGAAATGTGAATCGGTAAGCAGAAACAAATGTTGCCTTGCTTGTTTCCAGACCAGGCAGAATACTACTATAGGGAAGACATGACAAATCCTCCGATTTTTCTACTGACGTTCACTCTAATGGTGATGAGCATACATACTAACTATGGGATCCACTTAGATAAGCTAGAACTTAACCTTTAATACTTCATGTTTTTCTTGCATTCTTCAGTAACTCTTCTGAAACAATTTTATGCATCTCAGACCACAAAAAAAGTAATAAACCTAAAATATTCCTAATGGAACCATCCCTTTTGTAGGTTTACAAGAAATAGTGAGGAATTAGCCTTTAGCTGCACCTGCAGCAGTGGGATGGGACAAGTCATGATGGATGAAGGACTTGCTCTCATTTAAGTCATTAGCAAAACTCTCATTCCTATCAACATTCTGTGCCTTCAGCCCGGGTCTGCTGGAATACTAGGGCTTCCATCACCATGGTTTACCTTGCTGATGCTAATGTGGTCTGGAAGTGTTACTAAGCCTCTTGTGTAATCTAATTCCTGTTAATTAATTGTATCACTATTCTGTTTGTGATCATTAACATCCTCCTTCATCTCTGATTTGTACAGAACACAGTATGTGTATAGCAGTATATATAAAAGTATTTGATAGATTGCTGTCTTCAGTGCTCATATGTCTTGAGGTAGTTTTTAAAGCTCATATTTCTCCAAGAAGTACGTAAAAAGTTCTTTTAAATACTCTTTATATTTGTGTCAGTTTTTGTCTCTTTGTGAAATAGGGTGTCTTTCATCTATGCACAGTTCCTGTCAAGTGAAAAATTCTTCATCTCTGAGGGTCAGAATCTAGCTGTGTTTTGTCAACATACTTCTCTTGACTATGTCTGTTGTTTTTACAATGAGGAGATGTAACCTGTGCACTGAAAGAAAAATTGCAAGTGGTATTTTGTAAATACAGATGGTAGATTTTCTTTCCACGTCAGGTCATCTTTAAAATAGCCTTTATTCCAGTGGATGCCTTCAAGTTACTACATTTTCATTCTTCTGCTTGCCATCAGCACTGAAGTAGGGTCTCTTCGCCTTCTGCAGCCAAACAAGTGAATACTCGAGAACAGTTGTAATACCTGGTTGTTTTTTAATTTAGGTGAAATACAAGGAGAATTTTTCCAAAGAGATGGGTAAAAAGCCAAAGTATGACTTAAAGGAGGCTAAAATCTACAAGACCATGAAAGATGCTCACAACATGGCTAGTGAGGTATGTTTACTTATGCTTTTCCCTAGGGAAATTAAAAGTTTCAAATTTCTTTAACAAAGACCTCATGTATGGTATTAATACATTCAACATCACAGGTTTTATTAGCAGTCTCCTTTTCTGAGGTTGTTTGTCCTTTCTTACCTGCAGGTGAAATACAAGGCGGATTTAAAGAAACTTCATAAGCCTGTCACAGACATGTCTGAATCGCTGATCATGAACCACGTCCTGAGCACAAGCCAACTCGCCAGTGCTGTAAGCTCATTAACTAATCCTGGATCCGTCTGATTTTTCAGTTACTATTGATTCCATTCTGAATTGCTGTCTGCTAACTATTTCTGTAACAATTACTCCCGCTGTTATTGTTCATGGGACGTCACCTGGTAGTGATCTCTTCCTCTACTTTCTAATGACTGTTTCCTAGTTAACTAGCAACTTTGCCACATTTGTCCTCTGGGAAGCGAAATCTTTATTAGCCATAGAACTGTTAATCTTTTAAATCCTCTAATAATTTTTAGTGGATTGATCATTACATTTTAACTGATTGCATCACACTAACAAATACTATTATCTTCTTCTTTTACTTTTTTCTTTACTGCTTACTATATTTAAAATTTTTATTTTTCTCTGGTTTTTTCATTTCATGTTTATGTTTAACATCCCCCCGTTGTAGATGTACAGAGCTATGCCTAACAAAATACTTGATAATTTTACTGAGAAAACACAAAAATCATTATTGCTTGGTACAGCCTTTTCATGTATCCACTGTGTTTTCTTTTTTCTTTTTCTTTTTTTAATCCTGGTTTTGAAAAAATCTTTGTTGCAGTCAAAATGGCCAAAAAAAGATAACTGTTCACCCACATCTTTAGAAATGATATCTGATACTGGCAGTTAAACTTCTTGGTTTTGTTTTGCTTTTTGAATTTCTAATTTCTCTTTGATGTTCTATTGAAGTGTTGCTTTGATTGGACCTAAGAAGTAAATTTGCTGAGGGATTTTTTTTTTATTGAGATGATTTTTGACACCTTCCCTTCAGTACCAGTACAAGAAGCAATATGAGAAGAGTAAGGGTCACTACCATGTGGTGCCAGATAATCTTGAGCAGGTTCATCTAAGGGAGGCATCAGAACTACAGAGCCACGTAAGTTGGTCATGTGTTTCTCATTAACCCCACTCACTGAGTACCAGTCTCCATCACTGAAGTCATCCTAGCAAATTCTCCAGTATATAACAATCTCTTTGCCTATCTGCTTTATAAACACTGCACACCTGAGTGAACAAATCAATGAGAAATATTTGCACAGTTGCAAGTTTAGAATACATGTAAAATGTCTATGATTTCTTCATTCTAGAGTAGATCTCATGCCTTTTGTATATGGATCATTTTACACACTATAATGCGTCTATCAGGGTGATTTTGTCTATAGAAAAAAGGACCTGGTAACCACAGAAACTGGAAATTGAAAGAAGCAGGGTTGTTGCTGACAGTATATTTTCAACTGCTTTATCCATTCTAGCCTCAAGTGATACAAAGGAGAGCTCTGCCATTCTTTTTCTGCATCTGAAATTGCTTTAACCAAAGCAACACCTACTGCTGCTATTAAATATGTCTGACCTTTTTTTGCCTCTGGAATACAGCAAATAGTGAAGTATTCCAGAGAAATTTATACTCTGATTTGGCCTCTAATCCTCTCTATTCCAGGTTCTATTCCAGGTATTTATTGATTGTAAAGCAAGACAGAAATTACTGCTAGAACACAAAGGGTTGTAGTTATTGTTCTGCTGCATGGCATGGAAGAGCAAAAAGGTTACGTAGCAAAGGACTACTAGAAAATGGTTGTTAATCAGCTTCTAGTTAAAGTCGCTACTTGTTGCTCCAATTTGAGATCAGGATCTGTCTCAGCCAAAGACACAGGATTACCTCATGCAGCAGTCTGAAAATTGATGCCCTAAAGGCTGGATACTATAACTTGAAGCAAGAATATCTTCATCCTTGTGGACATTTTACTTCCTGGACACTTATGCACAGAATTAGCAAGTTGCTAAACTGCATCTTTTCAAGCCCTGCTGCTAACACTCCGGCAATCCATTAACATGTAACTGGCTGAACTCAGCCAGGGTCATGAGCGGTCTGAGTGCCTTCAAGTTAGATTTGTACAGCTACCTGTCCTCCTTCTTGTGATCAGTAAATTCTTGATATCTGAGCTGACGCTGCTTATTCTCTGCAACAGGAAATAAATGAGTAGAATTTTGAGGCCACACGCATTTTGCTGCAAGCCTGACCTTTGATTTTACATTTTATGGTCAATAATATGGATTTCAGGAAGGTAAACAGTGTTAGACATTCATTTTTTACCACGGATCTGTTGACCAAAGTAGGCACATAGTAGTCAATGAATAGGTTCTTTGATTATTTAGGAGGGTAACCTTTTTTCCTTTCTTCTCAGGTGAAATACAGAGAAAAGTATGAGAAGGAAAAAGGAAAACCTATGTTGGACTTTGAAACTCCAACATACCTTACTGCAAAGGAATCTCAGCTCATGCAGAGTGAGGTACAGTTAAAATCAATACTAATAGACTAAAAAACTTTAAAATTTATTTTTTGTAGTTAAGCTTTCACAGTGATTTAGACAGGCAATTATACTTGCATCTTGTGTGTGCTGATGGACTGCAAAATTATAGCTCTATCACATTTCTTTATATCGGTTATGAAATACTACAGTTAAAATTCATGAAGCTTTCCTGTGCCACAGTGAAGTGTATATTATCTGTAGTTTTTCATCAAGAAGCTAACAGTAAATGAAGCTTAAGTGAGTCTTCAAGTCTTTAGAAGAAAAGTAATATGAAATACATTTCACTTAAATTTTGGCAATGCAAGTATAATATGTGTGTTGGTTATCATAGTCCACAGAAAGTACCCTGGTTATTCTTTTCACCTCAGAACTCTAATTTTGAGAAACCCATTTATTTCCTGTTTGTCTCTACTGTCATAGTGTTCTTCACTGACCTGTCGTTCTATTTCCTCAGGCAGTTCTTTTCTGTTTGTTTGAAGTATAATCTTGTTCTGTCACAGATGAAGGCTTATACATGCTGAAAACCAGTTGTATAAGGCCATTAGTCGTTACGTTTGAGTGATTCCATTGAATGTTTGCTCTGCATATACAAATAAGTAGAAAAAGAAAAAAAAAGGCAGGGTCAGGTCATATTTCCATTGAAAGTAATGAGCTTTTTCGTGGGCTTTAGTAGAAACAGGATTTATTGCTTTAGGTGCCCATAGCATTGACTGTAGCAGATTGTTGTTGTGACATTAATACGAAACCACTGCTCCATCCTCCCAGTAGTTTTTCATGTAATTAAAAATAATGTAATAAATATTTGCTGGTTTGCTTTTTTTCTTCTTACTCTCATTAGAAACAATATAAGAAGGACTTTGAAGAGTCCATTAAGGGCAGAAACCTTACTGGCTTGGAGATTACACCATCCTTATTACATGTCAAATATGCAACCAAAATAGCAAGCGAGGTAGCAGTTATTCTGTGCTTATTTCCTCTGTCAAGTTAAATAATTCCACTAAGTATTCTCAGCAGCATTTCTTCTTCACCGCTTTCTTTTTCCTAACCATTCACATTAAGCATGCTTACATATATTTTGTGTTGTGATCTAATTTGTCGTGGACATTTATTTCATTGTTCGTTAACTGTATTCATATTTACCGTGTCCCTTTCTGACACTCATCAGCCTAACTGTTCCGTAGTGGGGTGTATATATGTGTGCCTTTGCAATTTATCTTGAACAAGAATTACTATATTCAGCTGCAGTAGTTCTTATATAACCCTATACCATAATCTTTGTTGGTTTAAAAAATTCTTTTTTCCTTTGGAGCGTTGGAATCTTTTTCTTTTTTTTTTTTTAAAATTAATTTTTGCAACAAAGTTGTAGAGTGTAGAACTCTATATAGTCTGGCTTTGCAGTTTTCATTTCCTTTCTTCTGCAGAAAGAGTACAGGAAGGATCTGGAGGAAGGTGTCAAAGGTAAAGGACTAACAGCTTTAGAGGAGACTCCAGACATGTTAAGAGCGAAGAATGCAACTCAAATTCTGAACGAGGTATGTCAAAAACTATTTGGAAAATACCTGAGTGGATTTAACAGCCTCCAACTGATAAATGTTTATGGCTGTATAACACTAGTATGAACTTTGTCATTCCCTAGAATATCTTGAGTAGGGAGAAAAAAGAATGTGTATGGGTGACTAAGGATAAAACTGGGAGCCTGAACTTTTAAGTGAGCTCTTTTCTGGCTTTGCAGTTACTGTCAGGAATATCGGTGGGAAACAGGTGCTGTGATCTGACTATTGGCAGATCAGTCAAGGGATAGACGAAACCAGCATCGTGATGCAGCAGGGCTAAGCGTAGGAACCAGAGCTGCCAGTTTTGTGAAGCAGGCATCTTAGGTCAGGAGCAGTTACCAAGGATGAGGAAACAAGAAGCAAAGTGAGAGATCAGAAAAGGACTACAATGAGAGAACCATACTGGCATACTCTGGTCTGGGAGGTGTGCCGTGCAGCAAAGAGCTCTTTTTCAATGAGGTGAGTCAGAAAGTGCAGCCATGCTCACGAAGAGTTCCCCCTGCCCGGGACTGATGCCCAGCTGGCAGCTGCAGGGCTGATGGCCGAGGCCGTCTTCCCCACTTTGATGGAGAGAGGTGGCCAGCGGACAGTCAGGATGCAAACCTACAGCTACTTTATTTACGTGGTGGACTGGTGCAATAAATATTTCATAGTGATGGGTTTCATTGGATAAGATTAGCTCGTATTTTAAGAGCCTTAACATCATCAGGCTGAAAGCTGAAAAAAGTAACTTTTTAGTGTTACTTAAGATTTTGCTTCTTAACAAAATACTCTTAAGATAAGCATCCTTATGGACTACAGCATTTTGTACTTAGTAGTGCAGAGGTTTTGAGTTATTCAAAGACCCTGTATTTTATTACCAGATTATTACAGCCATATTCAGCTAAGTTCAGCAGAGTTGGCATAGAGAAATAGAAATTATACCAACATATACAAAATAAATCTTTCAGACTTTAGTGGAAGATCTCTTTGGGAAGAGTGGCTCCTGCAGCACTGAGTTTTTAGGGAGGGTATTCATTCCAAAGGGCCCCAAATGTCACAGAGAATCCTGACACCTTGCATTTTTTGGACATGCTCAGTGTGAAACGTCTGTGACCACTCTTCACTACCACATGCATTTCATACGCTGCTCGCTGTCTGCTGCTTCTCTTCTGTACAAGTTATTGTTTGATCACCTAAAGGAACTTACACTTTGAGACTACTGGTGTGAGAAGGAAGAGTGACCTTAATACAGCTGGCCTGTAATACAGCTCCTTTTACTGCTGGAGTACGGCTGTTCTCTAGATTTAAGTTGTAGAGTACACGCTTTAATTACATCATTTGTGTGTTTAATTGTGAGTTTATATTAGCAGTATTCCTATTTTGTGGTGTGATCATGAAGCTATGTGAAGTTGCTAAAGGTATTGCATTCACATTGACAAAGTATCTATTTCCTGTCTTCATCTGCAGAAAGCGTACAAAAAAGCCTTGGAATTAGAAATCAGAGGAAAAGGTCTGACAGAACTGGCTTTGGAGACACCAGACTTTGTGAGAGCAAAGAATGCCACTGACATTGCCAGCCAGGTCTGTGTGAATCTCTCATGTATCACATCTGATGTCTTCTTTAAAGGAAAATTCATTAACAGTTTTTTCTGATTAAACCCAATGAAAATTGTTGTCAAGATACAATTAAGGCACCTAAATGTGAGCTTTCCCCAACAGATCAAATACAAACAATTGGCAGAAATGGAGAAAGCCAACTACACCAGTGTTGTCGATACTCCAGAGATTATTCATGCCCAGCAGGTCAAGAACCTTTCGAGCCAGGTATTGTGAGTGAAGCAATCTAATCATTGTTCATGTGGGAACCTCGAGTAGATACTAATTTGGAGCACTTAAATAACTACCTGTCACAACGTTCAGGAGGTACACCAGAAAAACAAATTTCTCTAGAGCTGTGATGTGGCATCTCTTACTCTGGAATTCCATTTCAATATTGAAATGAATTTATTTTAAGACTGTATAAAATGAAACAATAATTTCTACTGCTTTTGCAATACCAAAGCTACGTTTGTTCTAAGTGGGTTTAGCTTAATTTTCCTACTCCTTAATAACCTAATGTTCAAAATAAATCTTACACAGAGGCATAATCTGAATTTGTATCAGAAGTACTCACATCTCCATAAAGGTGGGCATTATGGAACGATAAGTAATGCCAGATTGTTTATTACTGCTTTGTATTAATGGAATATATTTTGTATTTTCTATCAGAAAAAGTATAAGGAAGATGCAGAAAGGACCATGCCATACTATGTGCCTGTGGCAGACACACCAGAAATGCAGAGAGTCCGTGAGAATCAAAAGAACTTTAGCACAGTATGTATATAAATAATAATTACTGTTGCTGTCAACTGATAAAAAATGTTCAGCTTTTTTTCATTTAATAAGATCCTGATATCACACTCTAATCCCAACTAGGCTGCCTTTATATTCTCAGGGATCTTCAGTTAGCGGGTCCGCTATGTATGCAGCAGCCCACTTTATGCATTACACAGGGAACCAAAATGATTCTGTAGTTTTCTTGATAAAAACTTCCTGCTGCGGTGCTTTGACAATGCCTTTGCAAGTAATAGAGAGTTATACTTACAGAAGTCGTCTGCTGTTGTCCGTGGGACTACCTGCAAGACTGTATGGTCAGTAACAGAGCTCCACAATCTGACTGGAAATCTTTAACTTTCATTGTTGAGCCTTAATTGCTTTAGATACAGTCTGGCAGCTTTCAAGATTTTTCTGTGAATGTAGTTAAGGCTCTCCTATTGCTAATTTAAATGAGAATACTTACAACTGTGGTACATCTTTATATCACTAATGGTGGCGTTAAAATGACCACCTTATAAGGTGTACTTGAAAATATTTTTTTTTCTCATCTTCAAAGAAAACTCAAACTTCAAAGAAATTTTTTTATGGCATAGAGTCAACATTTGACGTTTTACTTTATCTTTTTCAACAGCTTCAATATCAGTGGGACCTACAGAACAGTAAAGGAAAAGTTACAGTGGTACAAGACACACCAGAAATGCTGCGTGTGAAAGAAAACCAGAAGAATTTCAGCTCGGTATAGTTATTTTCTGGTTTCAGTTCTCATTCCAAAAAATACAGTTTAATATGTTTAATAACTATATTTGGCTCTTATCTTACAGGTACTTATGCTCTTGATCTGCTTAAATATGTATAAGAACTTTTTCAAACAAAACTAATTTTATTCTAAGTAGATTTAGCTGGGTTTTGCTACCCCTTTTTACCTACTGTTTTCTGTGGAGTGCCCTGAGTGCACTCTTTCACATATACCTATGATATAGTTAACCAATCAATCCTGTACTTACATTGGTATTACCAGTATCCACCTTTCTTTTGTCCTGTTACCATGTAAGAGGGGTATTCTTGTTGTGTTGGAACTGTCTTCTTTTAGTGAAAAGTAAACTGTCTGCCTGATTTGTTTCACATTTCATGTGTTACCATGAAGTGCCGAAAGTCAGCTGTATCATTTTGCCACTAGCACCATTAGCGTAGTAAGTAACTAAGTGGAAGACATTTGTGTAAAACATAATGAAACAAACTAGAACAAAAAGAACAAGTTAGAAAGAATACTAGTCTTCAATCCTAAAATTAGTCTACAAATGTTCTGACGTTCTACTTAAAATGCATTACTATAAATGTAAATGATCAGCCCTTTTTTGCACAGACGGCACTCGTAGTAGGACAGGCTGCGGATAGGCAATAAGGCAGTGACTGGAGCTAATCCTCCGAGTTGGCTTTCAGCCTGCACTGTTGTGTACAAATCACTGTCATGAGCCTGTATTCACTCTCTAGGAGAAATAATGTTGTGTTTTGTATGCTTAACCTTGTTGTCTTCATTCTGAATGTTAAGATTTTATATAAAGAAGATATTGGAACTGGAACTAATATTGAAAAGACACCAGAGATGCAGAGAGTTAAACGAACCCAGGATGCAATTAGCTCGGTACAAAATAATTTATTTTTAATACTCTGCCAGTGTTAATTCAACTTGAAATAATATATTTCTCCCCCCCTCATTTCTTTAAATGTTGCTAACAGTGTCTTGGCAATAATCCATCCAGCTAAGGGTTACTTTCTAAAAGTTTTTGCCTATTCTTTTTACTTAAACAGTAATCTTTCTAATGATTAACACTCAATTTGTTACTTACAATCCATTTCTAAAACATGAAAGTTCTTGCCATCATTTTTAATCTCATCCCAAACACAGTTTATTTAGCACGGAATCAAAGAATCATTTAGATTGGAAGGGTCCTCTTGAGATCATCTACTCCAACCCCATTGCTCAAGCAGGATCAGCTAGAGCAGGTTGCCTAGGTCCATGTCCAGTCGAATTTTGAATATCTCGAAGGATGGAGACTCCACAACCTCCCTGGGCAACCTGTTCCAGTGTCTGACCACCCTCACAGTACAAAAGTTTTCCTGTGTTCATATTGAATTTTCTGGTTTTTTTTTTAATTTGTGGCCATTATCCCTTGTCCTGTCACTGAGCACTACTGAGAAGAGTAGCTCCCTCCTCTTCATTCCTTCTCACTGGGTATTTATACACATTGGTAAGTTCCCCCTGAGCCTACTCTTCCCCAGGCTGAAGAGTCCCAGCTCTCTAAGCCTCTTCTCATATCAAAGGTGCTCCTGTCTCTTACTCATCTTTGTGGCCCTGCACTGGACTTGCTCCGGTAAGTCCGTATCTTTCTTGTACCGGTGAGCTCAGAACTGGACACAGAACTCCAGATGTGGCCTCACCAGTGCTGAGTAGAGGGGAAGGATCACCTCCCTTGACCTGCTGGCAATGCCCTTCTTAACGCAGCCGAGGATGTTGTTGGCCGCCTTTGTGGTGAGGGTGCGTTGCTGGCTCATGGTCAGCTTGTTGTCCACCAGGTCCCCAAGGTCCTTCTCGGCAAAGCTGCTCCCCAGGCAGTCAGCTCCCAGCATGTACTGGTGCCTGGGGTTATTCCTCCCCAGGTGCAGGACTTTGCATTTCCCCCAGCTGAAGTTCGGGAGATACCTCTCAGCCCATTTCTCCGGCCTGTCGAGGTCCCTCTGGGTGGAAGCACAACCCTTGGGTGCATCAGCCGATCCTCCCAGTTGTGTGTCGTCTGCAAACTTGCTGAGGGTGCACTCTGTCCTGGCGTCCAGGTCACTAGTGAGGATGTTAAACAGTACTGGCCCCAGTAGTGACCCCTGGGGTGCACCACTGCTGACTTGCCTCCAACTGGCCCTTGGGCCAATGATCAAAATGCTCTGGGCCCGGCCGCTTAGCCGGTTTTGGGTCCATGGCACTGTGCACTGATCTAACCCATACTTTGTTAGCTTATCGGTAAGGATGGCAAGGCAAACAGTGTTGAAAGCCTTACTAAAGCATGTCTCATAAAGTTTTTATATTATATAAAAAACTGTAACACTCTAAAATTGGAATAATTGTATGTATTACTTTTCTTTCAAAACTTGTAAATCTTTTTCATGCTTTTTTGAATGCTGACATCGTGTGAGTTTAAAAGATACTAACATTTCAGCCAACTTGTTTCATGCACAGTATGTTAAATATGTTCTTGTGAAATGCTCTTCTTTTTTTCGTTATGCTAAAGTAGAAATGCAAATAGCACTGTGATGGTTAAAATGTTGCATGACGACTCTCACCTTTGTTGAATATGATAGATTTTTATAAATCAAAAATTCTTCTTTCATTGGTAGAAAGACCAAATGGTATCAGGTTCAAAGGTATTTACACTTGTTTTTAGAAAACCCTTTTAGTAAAGTGCCATTCACAGTGACAGCTCATCAACAGCTGAAGTTGTCTCCTAACAGATAGCTTGTAAAGGTGATGGGCATACTTTAACAGCAGCTCTCTGCTCGTGTTAAAGCCAAGGAGATCTTTTAAATTTTCAGTCTCCTCAAGGCCAGGATAATGGTCTTTATGTATCCACATACGAATCTAGGTGCCTATTTTACATTAGGCTAAGCTTTTTAGAGATTATTTTAAATTTTTAATATCACAATTTTTTGGAACTCAGTGTAAGAAACCTTGAGATGGTTCAGTTGTTATAAATCAGGGCGTTTGTTCTTGCTGAAATTAAACTCCTGGGAGATGTTAGATACCCAAATTTTAAGCTTCAGTTGAAAAATTCTGGCTCAAACAAGACTCTGCTTTTTTACCCTGAGCTGAGTTATTAAACCGCCTTGTAGACGTGTGGCAGCGTTAGCTATCAGATAACTCTAACAGAGGGTTCCTGGATGATTTCCTTCTATCAGAATACCTTTAGTACCTGAGATCTGAGTGAGTTTGTAAAGTGTAAAGGACCTATGTTTCTTTATTCATGTAACTTCTTACACATACCTGTGTCAACTGTGCTTTAATATAAGTCCTTCTACTTTTTTCTGGTGTAGATTAAGTACAAGGAGAGTATTGGAAAAGGAACTCCAATTCCTGATCTCCCAGAAGTGAAGCGTGTCAAGGAGACACAGAAGCACATCAGTTCGGTAATGGCCGATATTTTCTACTTACCTATATACTCATGCAGAGCTCAAACTCCAAACTTTGGTAGCGTTTGTGGGTATTTTTTTGTTGAAAAGAGAACAGATCTCTTAAATCACTATATTCAGCAGCAGGAAGTTGAAATATCTGAATTTTGCAGTGATCATTAGAGTCAGCCACTTCCCTGCATGACTTCTGTGATCTTTTCTAAACACAGAACTAGAAACAAAAAATACCCCCATGAAGTCCTACAATTAGTCTGAAGAAACTGGATCAGCTCGAGAGAACTTTGTGGAAAAAAATAATTGGAGCCTTTTTTGTAGTCACAAAACCTAGTGGCAATTGTAAGTGGAAACACTACCTGGCTCTTCCCATACCTAGTTAAGTATAGATTTTAATAACCACAATGTGCTCTCCTGATTTTGAGCCACTACTGCTTTTCTTTGATCTCTGCATACAGAATTGAGGCAGGATACGGTCTTGTCATTATTGGTACCTCAGACGTTTGCTGTACAGTGCTGAGGAGCAGTGACACCCACATAATGAGTATCTTACGATTTTCCATTCCTGATTTTATAAGTACCATTTCCCTTTTGAGCTGTTTATGATACTGATGCTTTTTACAGCTCACTTTTGCACAATGGAGTTATTTTTTCAAATGATTCTTCCTTTTTTCTTTTACATAATTTGTTTTCCCTTTCCTCTATTTTTTATTTTTTCATTGTTTCAATGGCATCAAGCACTGAATTTTTTTTTTGTTAGCTCTTTTTGTTGCAAGTATTTCACTAGTTGCAAGAAGAACCATTAGTGCATTTGTAATGTTTTTCTACATGACTAGGTTTTAAACCAACCCAGGCATCTCCTATGCAACTCCTTTCATGAAAAATGCAATTTTTTGAATCAAACAATTACAGGTTAAGTTAAATCTAATAATATGAGAGCTAAAACTGAATTGCTTTTCTTACTAGAGACTTAAAACAAAGTAAAATAGTGGTTTTCCGAACAAATAGTCACAGAGATCAAAATGAAATGGAGCCCATGACTAAGTATTTTCATATTAAATATGTCTATAAAAGGTTCAGCTGTTTGTTAACACCATAAAAAAACCCCTCCAGAAAAGCTGACTGCCTGAAAAGTAATACTATTACATTTCCTAAAGTAAGATTAAAAGCAGAACATACCTACCTTTCATGCCGGGTCAGCAGAATATTTAAACTTGTGTCCTACTAGAATGAAGTATTGCATTGACTTCAGTGCGTTCAAGCACCTCAACATAGGCTTTAAGTACTTTGCTGAGCTGCTGACTGTACCTAAAAAGATGCACACTGAGTAAAATAAGTTGTGCACGTGTTTACATATAATCCCAGATTATATTTACCTAATAAACCAGGTAAATTGTCTATCCAAATGTACTCTAGTTGTGGAAGGAATATGATGATCTCACCTTGCTGGGTGCTTGTGTTCTGCAGGTCTTGTACAAAGAGGACCTAGGGACAGGTATCCCAACACCTGTCACTCCAGAAATAGAGAGAGTCAAACGCAATCAAGAACACATTAGCTCGGTATTTAAAAACAAAAATTATAACAACTTCTTTTTGCATAACATCCTAACATATAATCTGTTTTTCTTCAATGGTTTAGAATCTCACCCTGCTCCTGTCTTTTCCCTGGCAATATTTTTAACTCGTTTATATTCCACCTGTTTGTGCTTGAACTTTTTTTTGGTGATTTACAACTTTACATGCATTTCTTTTGAGAACCAAAACTGGAAGTAAGCTGTGACATTAACGTGGTGTTTCTCTCCCTATTTGTTTTATCTTAACCCGTTATCTTCTAGTATCTGTAGTTATGTATTTACAGAATAATCAACCATCAGCCCCTTCCTTAATACTTGCCTCTAGAACAAGTGTGAAATTAATTAAAAAGTGATCCTAACGCTAAACGTAACTCACAAAATAGTCAGATTTAATGGTTTTGCCTGTGTTGAGTGCTTTTTTTGTGGAAACTTTCTTGTACCTCGCAGGTATTGTACAAAGAGGGCTTAGGGACTGGCATCCCAACACCGGTTACTCCAGAGATGGAGAGAGTCAAACGCAATCAAGAACACATTAGCTCGGTATTGCTAAATAAAACAAAAACTACCATTTCAAATGCAAATCAAATCCCTTTAACTCCTCCGTATTAAATTTTTCTTTCGGCTCTTTGCTGAACTTTGAACAACCCTTTCTTAATCAAATCACTAAAACCCTGTCAGTATCCTTATATTTTAATTTTTCACTCCATCTAACTTGTCATGAAATTTTTCCAGCTGTGAGATTTTAACCTCATTTACTTAAATCAGTTTATTTTTCTTCCCAGTGAAATAGTAGTAGTCTGAGTGATGTCACTCTCCTCCTGAATAACAAAGTCAATCTTTCTAACAGTCTTCAGACTCACCACGCTGGTTGCACTGCAAATGAAAAATGAACTCTTAACACTTCTTGAAACAAAGCAATCTAATGCAACTAGCGTGTGTTGTCTCTTTTCCTGGTTTTGCTGTGTTGGATGCTTTCTTATATCCTACAGGTCTTTCTAAGAAAACCTGGGTGGCATCCCCATATCGCTGATGATACAATGACGAAAATTGCATATATAAGGAAAAATTACTGCAGTAATGAATTTCTATCCAGATTGTTTCTACTCCTAACACATTCCAGTCAAATGACCATCATGTCATAATTTGGTTCTCTATTTCTGTTTTAATTAGAGCAGTTCAGGACTAATTTTGACTCATTCTGACCCAATTCAGACATGACCGATATGAAATTCAGTCCTGACTTGAGATTAACAGGACGGTTCTGAGACGCCACTGTTGTTAAACTTTTTGCTACATTTAATTGTCTCTGAGGTCACCACGGCTCTCTTTTATGCTGGTGAGCCTGTTTAGAAATCTTAGAGGCAAAGCTGCTCATTCAAGATCTTTTGAGTAAGGAAACTCCTTTGGGCAAAAAGACATAAATGCGGAGTTTTCAGGTAACACGGCTCAAGCTATGCTTCGCACAGAACACCCCTGCAGTTCTTGCTGGCGTTATTTGTATGCACCCAGGTGACATGAGAACAAACCTTGTCGTAATATTACCTGATTATTTTCATTGATTTTTTTTTTTTTTTGCTAGCCTTCGAAGAAGGCTGACAAAATCTATTTTTCATACTTTGAAGTTTCACTATATTAAATTACTTGTCTTTTCTCTCTCTCCTCCCTGTCCTCCTCTTTCCTTTCCTTTCTTTTTTTTTTTCTTTTTAAATACTTCCCTGTTGCCACACAGGTGTTGTACAAAGAGGGGCTGGGGATTGGAACCCCAGTACCTGTCACTCCTGAGATGGAGAGGGTCAAACGCAATCAAGAAAACTTTAGCTCGGTATTTTTTTCGTGATTTAAGAAAAAAAGTTCCCTATAACTATTTAACACTTGTAAATTTTCTACTCTCTCTAATTAACTTATAAACATAGAAACATCCCCTTTCTGCTATTAAATTTTTTAGTCGTTGTTAGTTGTATTTAACATACTTATTTTTTAAAAGATTTTTTTTTTTAATAATCGTAACACTTGATGCTTCATGTCCTTTAATTTTTAAAGCTTTTTTTGTGAAGCTTAAGTTATTTTGCATTTTCAAAAAACACTGGGGTTTTTATTTGCTTAATTCCATGCCTCTAATGCTTTATGATTCTCTTGAAGGATGTCTAAGAATTAGGATGCAGTATTTCTAGCTGTCAGAAGACTTCCTCTGGATTTATCACAGATGTTAACTGTTTTATACTTCCTAATTTTTCCTGCTTTCTAGTAGATTTAGTAGGCATAAAAATTTTATGTGCTGCCTCCATCAAGTGGTTTTTCTTTTTTTTTTTTTTTGTTCTTAACTTTTTTTAAACTCCCATGTTACCATATAGGTGTTGTACAGAGAGGATCTGGGGACAGGAACCCCAACACCTGTCACTCCTGAGATTGAAAGAGTCAAACGCAATCAAGAACACATTAGCTCGGTATTTTTTTTAATTTGAAAAGCAGCAATTTCCCTTTTAATCTATTTTAAAATAATTTTAACACCAAAAAAAAAAACCTTTGTATTTCCCTGTAATCAATTTACACAAAAAAGAATGTCCCGTTCCCCATGTTTTGACATTTTTTCCTCCATAATTGTTACTTACTTTGTTTTGATTGGGTCATCTTACTAATGATAACTTTTAGATTTTGTGTTCCTGTCTTTCTTTTGACTCTGATCATATTTTTTTCTTCTTTAATATCTGCTTTTCCTTTTGTTAATCACTTCAATCCTTGGTTGTTGTTTTTTTTTCCCTGGATTTACCACGTATAAAAACTAAACTCTTTATTGCCTGATGCAAATCCATGGCTATGAGCTCAGTGTAACAGCGCTCCGATACACGCCAGTGTAACTGCTGTGATGTTTATGGAACGGGTAAATGAAACGGGATTGATTTCTTTATTCCTTCTGCATTGTATTTGATGCCTTCTTCCTTTAGGAAGTCTTTAATGTCGTTGCACGGGGCCAGTGGCCCAAATCTCCAGCTGGTGTAAACTGCTGTAGATACGTTGGTAGCACAGGTTTGCAGGGGAAAAAAAATCAGTAGCATTAGGATGTTTCTCAGGGGGAGGAAAGCGTCACGTAAGGTAGGAGGGCACTAGTAATGATAATTTCCCAGGTACCATTTTCACACATACGCCTTTATTGTGATCGTGTCTCTGCGTCCTTCCTGTAATAAGCAAGCTAGATTCTTTGGTGATGAACTCTGGACAGCAGGTAGTGTTTCACTCGCCGTTGAGGTGTGCGTGTTCAGAAAAGCTTTTAGGAAGGCGCATTAGGACCTGGTCCTCCAGTGACTCAGGTGCGGTCGGGAAAAGGTTTACCTCGCTGCTGGTGAAAAGACAGTAATGTACTTCACTATGATTTAGGCAAGACTTTAATCTTCTACATACTCACCAGTTTTGAATGTCCACCTTGAGAAGCACTTGAGCAAGTCAGGAAGGTATTCCGGCATTCCGGTAGAAGCCATACCAGTGTATTAGTGTTTCACTCTATCTTCAGAGGTTTAAACTAGTCTTTTACTTTTACGGATTTTTTTAATCCCTCTGTTTATTCAGGGCATCTCAGAAAAACATCTCTCATGTTCTGCGTGTTCTCTCAGCAAACAGACTGTTACTGTTGTTTGCTTGTTCCTTTTTCTTCTTTTAATATAGCCGTGTTACCCCACAGGTGATGTACAGAGAGGATCTGGGGACAGGAACGCCAACACCTGTCACTCCTGAGATTGAGAGAGTCAAACGCAATCAAGAAAACTTTAGCTCGGTATTTTTTCATTTGAAAAGCAGAAAATTCCCTTTTAATCTATTTTAAAATACTTTTAACACACACACAAAAAATTCTTGTTCCCCTATAATCAACTTACACAAAAAAATTATATCCTGGTCCCTCTGAGATTTTTTTCCTCCGTAATTGTTACTTACACCGTTCTTGTTCCTCTTTTTTTTATTACATCATCTTAATAATACCTTTTAATTCACCTTTCTTTTGAGTGTGATTTTCTTTTTAATTTTTTTGCTCTTAAAAAACCACCCTGTTTCCCTTTTCTTAGTCACAACAATCCTTAGTTTTGTTTTGTGCGGTGGGGTTTTTTTCCCTGATTTTACTGACTTTGTATATGAGAACTAACTGTTCAGCGCCTGATGCAAATCCGTGGCTATGAGCTCAGTGTAACAGCGCTCCGATACACGCCAGTGTAACTGCTGTGATGTTTGTGGAACGGGTAAATGAAACGGGATTGATTTCTTCGTTCCTTTTGTGTTGCATTTGATACTTTGTGCCTTTAGGAAGTCTTTAGTGGTCTACTGGTGCACAGACCATTTGTCTATATAGCTCCCAAGGAGCAAATAGAGACAGTATTCCAGCTTTCTGCCAAAAGGCATTGCGGAGTCTTAGTGTTGAGCTGGATAGTGTTGAGAAGCATTTTCATTTTTCTCTTTTAGTCCACCCTTTGGCTTGGAGCGACTTTGAAAACCATTCAGTCTGTTTTCTCAGGAAGCTGCGTGTTACTGCTGTTTGTTTGTTCCCTTTTTCTTCTTTTAATATAGCCGTGTTACCCCACAGGTGTTGTACAGAGAGGACCTGGGGACAGGAACCCCAATACCGGTCACTCCTGAGCTTGAGAGAGTCAAACGCAATCAAGAACACATTAGCTCGGTATTTTGTGGAGGAAAAGAAGTATTCCCTTTAACTCCACTTAAACAGAACTTTTTAACCTTTATTAAAAATGAACAATTCCACTCCTTACTTCCTTGTAATCAACTCACAAAGACTTCCTTTCTTTTTCACTGTACTATATTTTCCAATGTTACTGACCTACCACTTCTTCATATATGTGATTATTTACTTTATCCTAAATATTTTTAACCATTTTGCTCCCTGTTCCAACTTCCTTTTTCTTTGATGTGTGTTGGGTTTTTTTTTAAATCCTATGTGTTTTCTGTTTTAATGCTGTTATCACGGAAGAGGGCGGGTCTGACTTTCTAGCAGGCTTCAGTGGTAGTCTAGAAGCTCTCCTCCACCATGAAAATGTATTTGACCTAAGAGGCTTTTGCGCTGGATGCGTCGCACCTGCTAAGATAAAACCACAGACCTCTGCCTTCAGCCCCTCACGGGCGCAGTCCAGTCTTCATTGCTTCCAGGGGTGGCTTTTAGGGCACGTTAGAGCAGACTGAGCTCCAGCAGACTCAGATATTTGACTGCGTGTTGGATGTAATCATTACTGAGTTGTGATTATGTTTTTTGGATGCTTCTTGTTACTACACAGGTGTTGTACAAAGAGAGCGTGGGGACTGGAACCCCCACTCCTATCACTCCAGAGATGGAAAGGGTCAAACGCAATCAAGAAATCTGTAGCTCGGTACTTTGCTAAGAAAAAAAAATGTTCCCTTTAACTCTATTTAAAAGAACATTTTAACAGTTTTAATAAACAGACGTTGTAACACTTGTTCCAAAATAATGCCGACCCTAGCTCTGAAGCAGCTTACACACGTGATTACTTCTTACTCATGTCTTACTGTGGGTTTACGGTGGTGACTTTAACTTGTTACAGTTTTTATTGGTTTTTAAGAGTGATTTTAATGCCCTATTCTAATCCTAAAAACACTTAACAAACTCCACTCATCTTCTCTGCAGTGCCAACATTTTTTTTTTTAATATAATTTACATATTCATAACATCCTCAGCCACTCAATATGGTATTTTTGTGGTCTCATTTATGTAGTACTTACACTATTTATTACGAGTGGTCCTGTAGTTAAAAAGCCAATAAGCCAAACCCTACTTCTCTAGTAAAATAGTGCTAAGTACCTTCTTTAAAAATACATTTAATACCTAGGCCCTGAGGAAATAAATGCAAGAAAAAAATGCCTGAGGCTTCAAGTTTGTCTACGGATAGCTTTTTATTTATTGTTGCTCTCTTTGGCTCCTTTCTTGTGTCTCATAGGTGTTGTATAAAGAGGACATAGGGAAAGCAACCCCAACACCTGTCACTCCTGAGATGGAAAGAGTCAAACGCAATCAAGAGATCATTAGCTCGGTATTTTGCACAGGAAACCAGTTCCTAAAGATCTGAATGAAGTGTTTAACATAGCTGTAGCAGTTTAGTAATCTGTGCTTTCTAACTTTGTAAAATGAATCTGCCATGTAGCATAAACCTCCTACCTTCTGTGCTTACACGCAGATCGTAGTATCTTCTATTTAACGCTCTCTGAAGCAGGTCTGTACTAGAACTAGGTTTGACCTTTTTTTGGATGGATATTGTTTCTCTGCAATTTTGTTAACCCTTTCTTACTACAAGTGTGCTTTCATGCAGAGTTGACTCCATACAGGGTCCGTTTCTGCATCCTGGTAGATTAATGGCAAAGCTCCCGTTGCTTCTTTTAGGAACGGCATTGTGCCCCAAATCTAACCTTTTCTAAGTGTAATGATTCAAAAGCTACATTGTGTGTTGGTTTGGGGTTTTTTTTGGTGGTGGTGGTGCCTTTTTAATGACATTTGGATACTCCCTTGTATCCTGTAGGTTTTGTACAAAGAAAATGTGGGGAAAGTGACCCCAACACCAATCACTCCAGAGATGGAGAGAGTCAAACGCAATCAAGAAATCATTAGCTCGGTACCTTAAAATAGATATATTTCTTTTTTTCCTTTGTGCTTATATCTTAATAAAGTAACATTCTAACTACCTACTGAAAGTTGATTTAAATTTAAAAAATAGATATATTTGTTTCTGCAAATTAATCGCTCTTCTAAAATAAAATTACTTTAGCGTTAACAGTCTGATCCAGAAATTTAGGCCTTCTCTACAACTCACTTTGTGTACCTGTGGGCTCTATCCAGACAATATTAAAAGCCTAGCGTCCTTTGGTGGAGATACTCAGGTTTATCTCTCTACGCTTAGTGTTTAAGCTTTCATTGGCTTTTCAGGGGTATTTGACTTTAGTGAAAAAACAAACAAGAAACCCAACCAGCCCAGCCTGAAAAATGCCACCTCTCTGACCCATGTGAGATTGTAGTGCTGGGACAGGTGACTTGGGATGCCTTGAGCAGAATGACACAAAAGGAATGAGACTGTTCCTCTTCTGCGTGGTGTATCAGTGGTAGCTTTCAGGTGGCCTCATGGGCTGGGGAGATGTGCAGGTGTAACGGTGCAGCGGTGCCAGACACCCGTCCTCGACGCCCTCCTTTATTTGGCTGCCCGACATCAGTGTGGCAACAAAACTCCCTCCTCCCTCCCAAAAAGGTCACAAATTGCTTCAAATACAGATAAAACAGTTCTTAAATAGTTCTCTAGGGCCACAGGCACCTTTCCTAAGCCTATGGAGCCATCGTCATAGTTGTAGCTGGATAGAGCCCGCCCTTGTTAACCAAAAAAATAACAAGCTTTTCTTTTACAGTTTATTTTTCTTACCCTTCCTTACAGCAGTAGATGTTTGGCTTTTGTGTAGTGCTGCATACCATAATCAGTTGTGACTTTTTGGAAATTTGATAACCAAGTAATAATTGGTGTTCAAATCCTTTTGATTTTGGGGGGTTTTTAAGATACCGGATACATCTTCTGTATCCCACAGGTGTTGTACAAAGAAAACTTGGGGCGAGCGACCCCCACACCTATCACTCCAGAGATGGAGAGAGTCAAACGCAATCAAGAACACATTAGCTCGGTATTGTCTGGAAGAAGTAAAGGGGATATGATGGAGCACTTTTTTTTTTTTCTTTTTTTTTAATAACTTAAGTCTGCCTGGTTTTATTTAACACTCTAATTTTTTTCCGTCAAACTTAAAAAGTCATCTCTTAAGTACTACAATCTTAAAAGTTTTTTTTTTGTCAATTAACTTTTTAATACTATTTTTCCTCTGACCTTTTTTTTTTTTTTTCTTGCCTAATGGATGGTGTTTACTCTAAAACCAGTAACACTACAGTTTTTAATTTGTACGTTTGTGACTTTGAGTTACTTTGTGATCTGTAGGTTGTATACAAAGAAGGCTTAGGGAAGGCAACGCCCACACCGGTCACTCCAGAGATGGAGAGAGTCAAACGCAATCAAGAACACATTAGCTCGGTACTGAAAGATGACAACCACCTTGCATTCAAAATAACCATTCTGAACAAAAACTCCTCTTCTAATTTAGCCTTATTTTCTCAGTTTTCTTATTTTGGCCTATTTTTCCCTTTGATTTTTACCTTTTGCTCTAGCAAATAACTTTTTAGACGCTTTATTTCCCAAGATCTTTTCTACCCCTGCAGTGATGAGTATGCTTAATCAATAACACCATTCACAGAATGAGCGATGAATTTTTCCAGTCTGATTTGTGGACCCCTTTTTGTACACTGTAGGTTTTGTACAAGGAACATCTGGCAAAAGGAACTCCAACACCAATGACTCCAGAGATGGAGAGAGCTAAACGCAATCAAGAAAACATCAGCTCGGTATGTTCTATTCAGCCAATAGATGAAAATACATTAAAAAGTAACATTTTGATCCCTGAAGCCCTTATGAAATGAACAGTGCAGGTGTAACTCCCTAGCTACCTAGTTTGGACGTATGAAGTAACCATGGTAAAATCAAATCCTTTAATGCTTGCTTTTTACTCTCTGCTGCAATTGAGTATTTCTGTGTGATTAACAGCTTTAGTTTGGGTTGGTTTGTTTTTTTTTTTTTTTTTTAAACAGTTGAATTTCAAATAGCATATATTGCCTTCAAGTCTCCTGCAAATTCCTTGTGTTTTTACTGGTCGTATACCGTATGACATATAAAATGATCATTCTTCAGTAACAGGAGATTTTATGTTAGATTTCTGACACTCTACAGAAAAACAGGACAAATCTGGAAATGGCCTTCTTTAGGCCCTTCTTTCCTAACCTGTTACTCCAGAGGTAAATCCTGACATACCCCATCCTGTAAAGGTTTATGTACATAACATCACAGAATCACAGAACCGTTTGGGTTGGAAGGGACCTTTCAAGGCCATCTTGTCCAACCCCCTGCCATGGGCAGGGACATCTTCGACTAGCTCTTGTAGCTCAGAGCCCCGTCCAGCCTGACCTGGAACATTACCATGGCTTGCTCGATAAAGCCAGTAATACAATACCTGCACACAAATGTTTACAGAAGCATGATGCAACTGTTATCACTCAAAAAAGAAACCATGCAAACCCAGCAAAATCTGTAGTAGTTCAATGATAAATACAGGTCTAATTATGCTGTTTCACACAGCAGTCAGTGAGGTGCATGGCAAATATATGAAAATATCACCTAGAGCATTATTACTGCACTACCTCTACCTGTTGTAACAAGGCTAAAAAAAGGTGAGGCTCTTGTAGTGAGGGAAAGGAATGTCTGGGATTGAGTCCAGTGCTGTCCATGTCTCATATAATGATGACAAAGAATTTTGCTTTGCCTGCTGATGTTATTCACCCACACAGAAGCTGCTGCTTTCCCACCCCCCCCTTTGCTGGGTTGCTTCAGTACAGCTCATTCCTCCTGATGCAGAAGTAGTTTTGCACGCTGTGCTCACTTCCTCTTTCTCATCTGGCAGGTTCTTTATTCAGACAGTTTCCGAAAACAAGTACAAGGCAAAGCTGCGTATGTACTAGATACACCTGAAATGCGGCGTGTACGAGAGACCCAGAAACATATCTCTACAGTAAGAGCATTTATAGACGTATTTTTAACCTAGCAAGTGATTTAAATAAAAACCTTTTTTCCTGAGACATTCCAGGGATGGGCAGCTCAAGGACAATGTGCGTGTACCAAGTTTGGTTACGCAAAGTCTTAAATGCTAAAGGCAAGAGTGACTGCGGGAAAGGCATGTTTGGGATTAGGCTCCCATTGTCCCTTGGACTGGAGCAAGCAAAAGTTCAGCACAGCAGTGCACCTCTCTACTAGAAATTCACCTGAGGTAAGCAGGAATAAAAATTACTCATCTACACTACAGAGAACAGACATTTCATTTTAAATTGCAGGTGAAATACCACGAAGATTTCGAGAAAAACAAAGGTAGTTTCACACCTGTAGTTACCGACCCCATTACGGAACGCGTGAAAAAGAACATGCAGGACTTCAGCGACATTAGCTATAGGGGCATTCAAAGGCGAGTAGTAGAAATGGAGCGAAAGCGCGTGGACCAGGATCAAGAGACTCTCACAGGTAAGCAGAACCTAGGTGTTATGTTGAGTACATCATTTACACAAAACACAAGCTTGACCTGGATGAATTGTTTTATTTAAGCTCAGCCGTATCAATTAAAATTTATTGTTACTTGGAGATGATGCTTTCATCAAAGTCCATTTTGAAAACACTCGCTTACAGCAGCTGTAAGTCATCTGTGGTCTGCCTCTCCTGTTCTGCCCAATTTTATAATGTAATGCTCGATTTTCATAGAATCAGTTAGGTTGGAAAAGACCTTTACTTACATTTTTAACTTCACCTCTGTGCATATTAGAGAAAGACTTTAGCTCTATTCATGTAGATAAATTTATATTTTTTTTAAAAAAACCCCTAATCTGTGCTATAGATTTGAGAAACTCAAATTTATGAAACACTGCTTGCCCTTTTGATACGCTTTTACTCCTATTCAGGCCAGACATGTGCTGCTCAAGCTCTCTAGAAGTTGCTTCTCCTCAGAAAACGCTCTTTCTCTTACAGGTCTTCGTGTGTGGCGCACTAATCCCGGGTCGGTCTTTGACTACGACCCAGCAGAAGACAATATTCAGTCCAGAAGCTTACATATGATCTCTGGTTTGTTCCATAGGCTGTACTGTTTGTGCAAAATAGGGTTTACGCTCGTGCAAATCCAGGCGGTAAAACTGGCAGCTTGGGGATGCTAAAGCGCAGCTTGACACTCCACCTATGCAAGAACGCAAGCGTGGCCTCACGTGCTGACTTCAGGCGCTGTGTTAAAGATGACAGTGATGTAACAACTGTGCCTTGTTGCATAGACCTTCATCATGGAGTCCATAAAATGCTTTTAAAAAGCCCTGGCAAATACCATTGAGTAACCATAAAAACAGACTGTGATTAATTCATATGCTTTTTTCCCATTAATTCTGTAAAATACAGTAACCAGTTCTGCTTAGCATGCACATGGCCCATGTCCGTTTTCTATCACTATGAGCACAACTGCTACAGGTTTGGTAACCACGCTAGAGAGCTTTGGCTATGTTACAGAACATGTAGGCGCACACACACGCGTGTGTATGTATCAATAAGTAACCCCTCTCTCTATATATATATACACACACACGTGCATTTTTATGCGTGCATCTCCTTACAAACCAAAGACATGAACTGGTTCCTACTCCTTGCTCCTCGCAGTCCAAGCCCAGCGCCGCAGCCGGGAGCACTCCCGCTCTGCCAGTGCCTTGAGCATCAGCGGTGGCGATGAAAAATCCGAACCCTCGGATGGGGCCGATCAACATCTGTCCTACTACAGCAACGGGGGCTTCTTCACCACAACCACAACAGGTAACGAGGAGAGCAAACGTGCCATCTATTCATGTATGAGGACAAATGGTATCCAGCCCGTCTGGCAGGGCAGCACTGGTCACAGTTCTGTAATTCTTTTTGGCAGGAAAAAGCACAGTATGCCTGCAAAATGTTGAGTTGTGGATATAACCAGCAGCTGTAAACTTGTATTTCAGTATGTAAAAGGCAGATCTGAGGCACCTAACCACCTCTCCCATGATCTTTATTCAGAGCAACTCTAACCCTACTGCCAGTTCTGTAATAAACAATACAAAATATATTTTCCTTTTGCAGTGGGCTACAAACACGCTAAAACCATAGAGTTACCCCAACAACGGTCATCGTCCGTGGCCACCCAGCAAACAACGGTGTCATCGGTTCCTTCGCACCCATCTACGGCTGGTGTAAGTAACATGGATCAGTTGTGTTAAGACACACGGCCCCACGCTTGCTGCAGGAGTTAATTTGATCACCTACCAACGGGCACAGCCCTGGAGGCCCCTAATAGCAGTGCACACCCCACCGTGCTTCAGGTGATGTTAATCCAGGACTGAGTGGGGAACCTGCCTACCCACCAGCTCGTACAAAACCAGGTGAAGGTGCAACAGATTCATTGGAGGGGGAGAGACCCTCACCTGCCCTTGAAAACTTTAAATTAACACTTCCTACCCCTGAGATTGTCTTAGGCTCAGTATGGGACAAGGGGTAGGGCAGCACCTCCCCCCAGGCCAGACCTTGAAGTTAAGAATTAGTTAAAAACAAGAGTTAAAAGAGTTAAAGAGCTACCTGCAGCTGTTACTGCTGCTCAAATACACTTTGGAAACATTTTGTTCACCTTTGGTGTAACTAAGACACACAGGCTGTAACCTAACGCAGTGTGGTAGTTAGTTACCTTAGGTAACTTACTCGTTGAAAAGAAACATTTTGCGATCTGAAACCAGATTCAAAAGACCAGCCAGAGTGCCAGCGGTAGTACTTTGAGTACTGACATGAGTCAAAACACAACTTGCCCGCAGCCTCCATTTTGATTCTCACCATCAGCTCTGGCTGGCAGTGCTGACAGCAGGGATATAAATGTCCTTTTTTTTTTTTTTTTTTTTTTTTTTTTTTTTTTTTTTTTTTTGTCCCCCACCTACTTAAAACTAACAGAAGACCTACCGGGCCATGTATGACTACATGGCAGCTGATGCTGATGAGGTTTCCTTCAAAGATGGCGACACAATTGTAAACGTGCAAGCAATCGATGAAGGCTGGATGTATGGGACTGTCCAGAGAACTGGCAAGACTGGCATGCTGCCGGCCAACTACGTAGAAGCTGTCTAAACCAAAGCACGTCTTGCCATAAAGCCTATCTGCGTGGTGCGACATGCTGGCACTTCTCAAAATGTAAGCCTTGGAAGAGGGCTTGTACCAATTTTTTTTTTCCCCCCAAAGTGCCTCGTCTGCCATGTTGGTAGCGCCTTATGAACCAGGATGTGAACAAAAAAAAAAAAAAGAAAAAAAAAAGAAAAAGTAACTGCAGAGCAAAATACTCACAAAACATCCTTTCAAAACATGAAACGTGCTCATGAGAACTGTGTTTCTATGTCAAAAAAAGTTTGCTTAAACATTGCCTGGACTTTCAAACATTTCACCATCACGTACCATCACAATGTTTAACTGCGCCAGAACTGCGAGCCAGGTCAGTATCTCTGCAGCTCTATACATGTCCTTAAAACTAAGACTACCAAGTATTACTGTATTCATTCTCCCATCAAGAGAGTGTTTTTCCGGGCTGTTCTAAAATGTTTGAATGCATTCACTTTTCCGTATAAGCAACATTTAATCTTAGTATCTCAAACCAACATTTGGCTGGGGGGGCGGGCCCAAACCCAAACGCCTCTCCTTCTGCTTGCTGAGCTCTTATGTGTTTTTCATGCAGCTGTTCTGGGGTCAAAAAGCTGTTATTACTTGTAAATTAGTGACTAAATAAAAGCGAATGTTTCTGCAGTACGTTTGATTGATTCCTGCTCTTCAGCGTGACTGAATCCATCTCACAACCAACTGGCTTTGTTCAGAAAACTGTTCTGAGAAAGGAAAGCAGCCAGGTGGTGGTGGAGGATGCCACAGCCACCAGAGCAGTCAAGCTGAGGGGCTGTGAATGAACTGCCTGAGCTATTTCACACCTGGAACAGTGGCTGCTGGCTTCACCTACTGCAGCGCCTGGTACCAGCCAGCCTCCAAGAAAGAGGGGAGTAAGGAATCACTCTATACTGTGCCCCAGACAGACTAAAAATTGAAACCAAGTTAACAGCAGGAGGAGTTGCGACGTTAACTCCGAGGCCCTTTGTTCAAAGGGGACGCACAGCACGTTGCGGTGTATGCAACCAGCCTGCACGGGAAACGTCCTTCCTCAAAGCAGGATTCAGGGCTGTAAGTTGAACAGAGATGTTAACACCCTTTCGAGATGCGTTAGGAACACCCTTACCCGCACAGGTCACTGGGTACAAGAGATGAATACACCTAAGAGGCAGATCTGGCACAAAAATAACATTTTCAAGAAAGCAAAGCAAACCCACAGACAAGTCGTGGCTGGCGCTGTTCACATTATAGCTCCAAGCCACCTCTTTGTCCTGGTCATTTTCTTCACGAGATGCACAAACAGGGCACAGAACATTTAGAGTCTCACTGACAAGACACTACCGTGTCCCCAGGGACCTGCTCCTACCTCAGGGTCCCTCCCAACCCTGCGAACCCAAAGCAATGCTGAGGGAGGGCTGGACAGATCTGAAGGGGAAACCAAAACCAAAGCCCCAAACCACAGCAAGTTTGGGAACTGTTTGCTCTTTTATTTGCCCACATGTAAGTTCTAAAACCACCTGCAGCAACTCCTTTCAACAGCTGTCCATTTTGATAGCTACAGTACAATATATACATATTAAGATATCCAGAGTAAAACCCGAGAACTCTCTCTGAAGGTCTCCAAGAAGCAGCAATGCATTCCATGCAATTAAAACTCAAAATCATAAATTATTAACCACCATTTGCCATCATAGGTCTGTACATAATATACAAGGAGATCTTGTCAAATCCATTCATTTCCCTAAGGAAAAAGTCTTCTCCACAGAGGGAGAACTGCTGCAAAGAACGAACACGGGCAAAAGCCCGAGACGTTTTGCAAAGCCTTTCGCCCATAAGGGTGGGTTGCATTAGCAGCTGCTTAGTGTGATTCTTACAAAAATACATGCAAAAATAGATGTCATCCCGTTGTCAAATACCAGGTTCCTGCACTGTTGCTGCTGTAGGGAATTCAGCAGAGCTCCTCTCAGTACAAAGCGGTGCTGATCAGAGCCGCTGGCTGGCAGAGTTTCAGCAACTTAAAAGGAAACAAACGGGCAGCAGACGAGCAGAGCTGCGAGATGGATCTCTTACCCAATAATAAGAGTCTGCAGCAGTAAGAACACTTTGGATTTGAAAAAATAATTTAACTACTCTGTTGGTTTGGTTTCACAGTCTTTGCTATTGCACAACTTCATCAAGTTTTCTTTCACTACCTGAAAGAAATATGCATAGCAACACAGATACCTCTAACAGGGAATAAGCAATCCCACCGATTAAAACAAACAAAAAACCAAGAAAAAAAACCCCAACCATGATACACTTTGCTCATACAGGTGTTAAAAAAATCTTCTATAGTACAAAATGCACAGTTTAAGGAATAATTCACCAGTAAGAAAAGCAGGTTTTGGGGAAAATTGTTGTAACAAAATCCTCCTTATTTAGAAATTAAAAGCAACTAATCGGAACTTTCATGGGGTGGCGATTTCCAGCGGGACTGCAGGTTTTTCATGATACAGTTTGTCATGCCAACAAGTTTTTCTTGCATCTCAAAAAGCTGGCTTCCTGAATAGCCATGAAGCTCCTCAGAGGTCAGCTGAGCAGCAAGTGCGTCGATTCGGCTCAGAAGATCTGCTGGGGGCTGGTCATTTGTGTTCGAGACAACTGGTTCAATCAAATCTGCAAAGGAAGGAAAAGTAGGGCAGTGCAGTCTGCGCGTTTGGGTTTAAATCTAAGCAGAATTGTGTTGCGACGGAACGTTACAGCTTTTTTTGTACAAGAGAACAGATTCAAGCAGCCTATGCAGTGTTTGTTCCGCACATTAGGAGAGCTTCTGACAAAGGCACCCCTCAGAACTCCGTGCTACCCTTCGTGGTGACCTTCATTGTATTTGATCGGGATTGTACAATAAAACTAAGGACAGAAACGGACGTATTCAGATACTGCCAGTGTCCTTCGAGACGTGCTACCCCAAAGTCCAACTTTGACAGTGGACAGCTGAGGAGAAGTTACTCCTGAGTTCCTTGTTCTCCAGTTAACCAAATGCTTCAAGTATCTTGCAGGAAGAACATGGATTCCTCTGTCTGAGCCATCAGGCCAAACTCCCCAAAAGCGCAGGAGAATTCAAATAAAAGTCTAGGCACCCAAAATGGGTATCCAGGGAATCATCCCCCTCAGGATGAGGGAGTGCTTAACTACCTTTGCTTTGTCTTGTGTCTGAAGAACCACAGCAGTTATGGCGGTACGTAACAGCTCGGGAGACGTGCCCGGTTGAGATTCAGAACATTAAGTACTTAGAGCCCTGCCCGGTTTGTTCTTCACATGGTTATGCAAGCTCGTTTAGGGAAAACCGGCATCTTCCCTCAAAATATGTAACAATTTTTAAGAAGCCATTGCTACAGGGCTTCATAAAGTGGCTAACTGAAACATCCATCTAACATGGTAATGTTAGCTATTAACACACTCTCTCTCTCAAAAAAAGGATCAAGTGTTGCCATTAGGGAAGAATGAAAGCAGCAGTACAGCAGGAACACCCAAATCCTAAGCAAAAAGCCAGCAATAGTTACCTGTTGCAAGTTTTTCTTCGTCTACAGAAAGAGATTTATCCTCTACATTATTTACAGGCTTTTCTGCATCTTCAAGAGCTGCAATTTCCTCAAATCCTCGAGATTTTACCTGAAGGTTTTTTAAGAGAAAAAAGAGATGCATTTGCAGAGGGGGAAAAAAAAAAGAAGAAAGATTACACAGTGGGATGTGCTTTAACCTCATAATAAATACAATCATTATTCCCATTGATAATATTGTAATCAAGTCACCTGTACCTTGAACTCCCGTGTTACCTTGACAGGTAGAGATTAAAGTGCTATTTCTAATGGGGGGGAAAATCCCCATTATTCCTCGTGATGGCTGTTAGCAGTTTGTTAGGCAAATATTGGCTTTTTGGGCACTAAACTTAAACTGTACCTGTTGCTCATGATATCCTTTCAGAACTTTTTTAACATTGGAAATTTTCGGAGAGCGGATGGGAAGAGTTTTGATTTCTGATGCTGTCAAAGTACTCAGATCACCCACTGTCTTAATGTTCTTTGCTCGGATGAGCTGCCCCAAGCCTCTGGCGCTGAAGCAGGGGAGAAAGAAAAATGGTTTATTATGCTAGAATTCATGTCCCTTCTGCCTGGCACGGTGGAGCAGAAAGAAGCCTTACATGAATGTCAATTCACATGCACATAAGTGAAGGAAAAACAAAATTCAAGTGATGTTGTTCTATCTGCAGCAGCACACCTTTTTGCAAGTTTTCCCTGTATCCATCAGAGAACAGTGCTCAAAAGCCCACTCCCATGTAATATGAGCAGAAGGAAAAGGAGCCGAGTACACCAGAAAAGGCCATTCTGAGCAGTTCCCACTGCACGTCTGTGGTTTGTTGAGACAAGTTATCAAAATTCAGATCGGAAACCAGGCCTTTGTACGTTCGAAATGTAGATTTTTTGGTTTTTTTAAACGTACATACACAGAGCGCTCCAACTGCTTTGTCACAGATCATGAAGATCTGTCTGCTCTGCCATGTGAAATGGAGAAAGCTCCCTGCGTTCCTGGGTGCAAGCTTTTCATTGTCTTAAAAAAGAAAAAAAAAAAAAAAGGACTTGAATAATTCCAAATAGCAAAAGTCCCTCCCCTACCAAACCAGCCTCCTTCCTTTTAAAGGTATTTGGCAAAAGATGTCTCCAAGTCATCACATTTTGCATCAGAAAAATTTGTTTTTGTAGGTTCAGTAAGAACTCAGTTTCTATTAAAGTGTAATCTTCAAAAGCAACAATCCACTTACCATATGTTTGATGTAATCTGAGGTAAAATTACATCAACCGGTGCTTTGCAGCCAGTTAAGGCAGGATACACGCATTCTGAAGGGCAAGGCAGCGATTCCTTAGCCATTTCTGTAATCTTGAACAACACAGAAAAATTATTAAATTAACCATCGCACAACTGAATACAGGAAAAAAAAAAATAGA